GAAGTGAATGATACGAGTAGGAGAGAGTTAGGTCCTTAAGTGGTGGAAACTAGAAAATTAAGCTGGATTGAGATGGATAGGTGGGTAAATGCGGTTGTGGCAAGGCAGGAAGGGACGAAGCCCCGGCGGTGGATGCATTACTTATTTCTGCCTATTCCCCAGAGCAGCCATTGCTTGTAATTTCTTGATATTAGGGGTGTAGCTTCATGTTTGGTGCTGCAAGGAAGACCTGACTCACTCGGAGGTGCCGAGCCTGCCATCTGCTTCCTGACTGGCTGTCGGTCTGATGCTTCGATGCAGTGAGTGTAGTTTCATTTCATTGTCGCTGTCAGCAATGTTTAAGTGGAGATTTTATTCACGGCGATAAACGTGGAAATGGCCTATTGTGCCCCGCCACCCTGACCTGCTGAAGGTGTTAAGAATGTCTGAAATACATTAGAAGTTGATTTTAAGGGTCTCTTCTATTGCAAATTCCCCGCATTGCGTTGTAGCAGGCAGTCCACACTGCACGATGTTTCCGCTAGAAATCATGTGCTTATCAAGGATACCATCATTACTGGCACAGATAAACATGAATGAATGGAGAGATGCAAATCCCATACTTTTACTGAATGTGTTTATCGGAGAGGTTTGTGTCTGGAGGAGACGCTCCTGCATCAATATTCTGTAAGATAGGCCCCTTTTTACGCTCACTTGGAGACCTCTAACCCCAATGCTATCACAGCTGAGTTCACTTCGAACACCTGCAGAGGAAGCACTTCCTCTTCCTCAAAGTAGTCCTCTTTGCCTTGCTTGTTTGTAGCTTCCAGTTCTGCGATGTAAAGAAATTATGTCTTCATGATATTGCCTTTCGACTCCTTTGGTGGTGACTCACTGGAACTCAGGTCCTGTTAGCTGAGCCATTCTTTTATTTGAATTCATTATCACTAGCTTGTCAAATATGTGCAAATAGATCGTCTTGAAGTCAGTTAATTTGAAGTGTTGAGTGCAACCGTGCAACAATTGAATCTTCGGCTTCGCAGCTGTTTGACTGGATGTTGTTTTGCTAGCCTGGTTTGGAACCTCGGCCTTTTTGTTGCTGTTCTTCGGATGTCTTTAACATGACACCCGCTGCATCGTTGAGGACTGGCTTGATTGGGCTTTGATTCTTTACAGGAGGCTATTTTGCTTCTCATGAATCTCGCCTTCAGCATTTCGTACTTGGAGGCCTTTTCCACTGCTGTCTTTCCTGTTTTCCCACAACCCTCATTAGGTAAGGTATTCAAAACGGTATTAGCTTCTATTGACTCCGCGAGGCGTGTTGAATTAGAAATGTTTCACCATGCAGCTTTGTTAAAATAGCTTTTTCTGTTTGTGGTGGTGAATTTCCCATAAAGGAATGTGGTCTTCAACCAATTGACTCTGCCTTGATAACGCTACCTCAATATTGTGCTTAAACGTGTAAACTTTTACTGCAGACGCACGGGTTTCCTTTTCGAGCGAAATCATCCTTCGAGTTGGGGTGAAAATGCCTACTTTGACTAAACTGCCAGAAAGCTAGCGCTCAAATCGGGAGCAGTGTGTGGTTTAAACCTCAAAATCGTGGTAATTAAGTGGGACATTGGAACGTTACTAACCAGTGTTAAACTGTTTGTACGATTTTTGGACACAGAGCACTTACCCTTTTATGAAGTCCTTTTCCTCCGCAGCTCAATGATCCCTTCGTCACTAGAGAATGCGTTGTGCATCCACTGAGAAGTAGTGGAACTCCTCGATAAGGATAGATTTTGCTGTAATTGTGAGTGATTGATGAGGCATCGGGACTTCTTACTGGTGGCTTGTAGTGCAGTAGATTTCTACACGTACTTGCTGTTTTAAGTTGCCCGGGGTTCACTGCTTCATTTTTTTGTCAAGTGAGGACATTTACCGTTGCAACTCCATTCTATGCGTTGCAGTTATTTTGATTTGGGAAGTTTGGCCTGTTATGCTTTCAGTTGACTACATTTTTGCTGCCTCTACTGGAATATCGGTTCAACTGTTTTGTAGATGCCTCAATGTTCTTTTGATGTACGGTAAAGTGGCAGATTTATTTGTAATTACTCGTTAGTAAAATATACTTCGTCAAATTGTGGGCTTGGGTTTTGGGTAATTTTTCATAAGAAACTCCATTAATCACCACACCTTGCTTTATGTATGCATGGCATATTTTGCACCCCACCAGTGCCTGTTGCCAACGCATCGCCCCTTGTTTAGCGCTGTTCTGTGTTGTTTCTGTAGCACAGTGGTTCCTTTACGCAGCTGGTTGTAGAGTGTAGACTCTCAGTGTTTTCTGTCGTCCCTTAGAAACATTTGCCCTTAACGCTGATTCTGTGATGTGTTTATCGTCGAGACCCTGATATTTGAATGGCGAGTATGCCTTGCAGGCACACATTGTCGTGGCATGATTTACATACCTATTTTATTCGCAGTGGCTCGGCAACTGCTAGGTAATTGTGGGTTTTGGGGACTTCGTCTTCTGCCCGGGGTCACGGCTCCATGGCCAGAGGTCAAACGTGATGTTACGCTCGAATTCAACCGTAGTGGCGTGGCAACTGCTAGATAATCGCGGGCTTTGGGGAAATTGATATCTTACCTTGGCTTTGGCAACATGCTCAACACATAGGGGTGCGTTCCACCAGTCCGGGTCATGACAATGGTTGGCTTGTTTACTTTGCGCGCATATGCGTGCATGTTTATAAAGATGGGACGCATTTTATGTGTATCAATGCGTTATTATTGTCTACTCTCCAGGGCATCATGATGGTAAAGGCTGATGTAGAAGGAAAGCGGGAAGTACGAAGTGTTGTTTTACACCTCACTGGTGCTTCACGCATTGCTCTTTTGAGACATTGTCTCCTTAGGGCCGGTGGTATTGTTAATAGCCCTGGCAACAAATGCTGAGCGGGAGGTTGAACCAGTTAATTTCGGCCTTCTGTCTACCATTCCCTTGGTTCTGGAATTCATTTCCTTATAAATTATTCTGGCTTTCCTCAGTGCACATGTGAGGCAGCTCACCTTTATTTCATTCTACTTTTGTGGTGCCACATGTTTATTTGGAATCCATGGCGTCAAATGCTTCTTCTTGAAGCAAGATGGGATTAGCGGAGCTTGTTTTCCACCCCACTGTTTTTAATGTGTGTCGTCATTTTGCTTGAACTCTCTCCTTCTCAGTGGATGCGTAAAGCAGTGTTTCTCTTACGCATGTGGCAGTGAAGTGCGTATTCTGAGATGTTTCCTTCAGCCGTTTAGTCTAAATTTCACATTGCTTCCCTACATCAGTACTTTATTTTTGATTCAGAGACGTGGTTTGTTTGGCTGGACGTAAATTCCTCTATGCCTCCGAGGCAATGGGGTTTGACTGCTAAGCGAAAGATAAAACTGTGGAAGTTCTCTATTCCATTTCTTCAATGCCACAACTGAGAGGCATGTGTAAGGCAGTTCCCCTGCGAATCCTAGGAGCAACGTCTTGGTAGGTTATCCAAAAGTGGAGACGGGAGCTGCTTTTTGCAGCCTTGACCTTGTTAAATTCTCTTAACATAAGGAACTGCTTGTCCGTAATACTAGTCTATCACTATAAGTGTTTTTTGTAGATACTGCTACAAAACCAACCCCCCTTGTAGGCCTAATTATTGCCGTGATGCGTCGTGGCTGTGTGCGAATGAATCCAATGACTTTGTTGAATTACTTTGCTATTATTTTCAAAGGTGTTGGCACATCTGCAACGAAGGTGTCATCGTACTTCAAGGAGCCAGGGACTGCTGTTATCTATTATATTGGGCAGACAGTGGAGGTAAACAGCGACCTTCTGTGCAGTGAGTGCGTGCCATACGACGGGTAAAACCAAGCAAAGCTACCTTGTCTGAGGCAACTTGTAATTCACCTTCTGGAGATTGCGACGTACTTGAACGTGATCTCATTTCTCCCTGTTGATGTAATAAATGCCATCAACAATATATTTGTCATATTCATTCATTATTGTCTTCGCAATTAGTTGTAGTGCATTCCATCTTGTTCGAAGATGTTGAGCTTACAAACTCTCACGTGTATATATTCCGGTCCCTATTATTCGCCTGGATCTGTACTAACGACGGGGTCTGTAGTTCCCTCAAATCGCAAGCATGCAAAGATGAATGCGGTTATCCAGTTTACTAGGTAATGGTGGAAGATGGTGCGATTTCCAAACTTTGGAACTGGTAGGAACTTGTAGTCTATCCGAGTGTTCCCTGAGTGTGTGCCAGCCGCCCTTACTCTGCTCTGCGCTACTCTGCAGA